CCCTGACGTGCCCGCCATGCCTGACGTGCCCGCCATGCCTGACGTGCCCGCCATGCCCACCATGCCTGACGTGCCCGCCATGCCCCTGACGTGCCCGCCATGCCCTGACGTGCCCGCCATGCCTGACGTGCCCGCCATGCCCCTGACGTGCCCGGTGCCCGCAGGTGGCCGAGGTGCGGAGTGCCCACAAGGAGAGGCTGGCGGTGGGGGGCTGGTACCACGGCCCCCCCATCCAGCGCCCCCCGCGCCCCCTACCGCCCTCCACACACCGCTGCTCTCCCCGCTACGTCGAGGTCAGTTATTTGTCCTGATAATGATTTATTCATTCAAGATATATTTATTTTTAAAGTATTTTATGTATTTTTTAAAATATATTTATTTTTCGAGTATTTTATGTATTTTTAAATATAGGTATTTATTTTTCAGGTATTTTATGTATTTCTTTAAATAAATGAAAATATTTATTTGCTTTATTTATATATAATATTTCTATATTAATTTGTTTATACCGTAAAATGGGGTAACTTAGACCGGCGGGGTAACTTAGACCACTTTTCGTTTTTTTAACAAAAACCCCCACAACTCAAAAACTATTTGAAGAGTTCTACTACAATGCACCAAAACCTGGAGTTATTTGGAGTTATTTTACAAAAAAATATAATTGATTTTACCACCCGGTCTAAGTTACCCCAAGAGCTGGGGTAACAAAGACCATCACTTTTTTTGAAAACACATAAAGACTATGAGAGGCAGAAGCCAGCAATTTATGGTGAGTGAAGCTAGAGTATAGACCTGTATTTTGCCTGTTTCAATTCAAGTTTAATTTAGCTAGTAAAAAAATGGCATCACTTATAAAAAAAAAGTGGTCTAAGTTACCCCATTTTACGGTATTTATTATATAAATAAATGATATCTATTTATTCATTATATAAATATTTATATATATGTAAATAAATTTATATAAATATTTCGGCGCATATTGATCAATCTGAAGCGCAAGCAACTAAGACCACTATAATCATTTATTATTATATAATAAATTCAAAAATATAAATATTGTATTAATATCTTTATAATAAATATAAAAATATGTTTGTGTAAATATTTATTTGATAATTATAAATATTTGTATAGTTGCTTATTTGTCCCTCTTAAACCATCAATAAAAGGACGTATATCAGTGCTATTTCTAAAAAGTGTGTCACCATTTGCACCTCATGACACAATCATTTCCCTGAGCGTGTCTCTCACACCCCCCCCCACCTCCCCACCAGGAGGAGGTCCTGAGGCGGTGGGTGAGCCCCGTGTACCTGGCGGAGGCGCTGCAGGCGGGCGTGCGGCGGCAGTTCCTGCGGGACTCTGAGATCGAGCTGCAGGACTTCCTCCTGCAGGAGGCGTACGAGGAGCTTAGCGCCGCCCTCAGGGGGCTGGGGGCGTGGCGGTGGGCGGGGCCTCCTACGTCCGCCCACTACCAGGTGAGTGGGGGCGTGGCGGTGGGCGGGGCCTCCTACGTCGGGGCTTGGCGGTGGGCGAGGCCACCTACGTCCGCCCACTACCAGGTGAGTGGGGGCGTGGCGGTGGGCGGGGCCTCCAACGTTGGGGCGTGGCCGTGGGCGGGGCCTTCTAAGGTCTGCCCACTACCAGGTGAGTGGGGGCATGGCGGTGGGCGGGGCCTCCAACGTCGGGGCGTGGCCGTGGGCGGGGCCTCCTACGTCCGCCCGCTATCAGGTGAGTGGGGGCGTGGTGGTGGGCGGGGCCTCTTTTGTCCGCCCACTACAAGGTGAGTGGGCTGTGACTCGGGGGGATGTGATGGGCTATGACTGGTCGGGTTTTTACCCTCTCTACCCGCAGCAAGTGACAATTAACAGCATCTTACATCAGCTGGCCCAAATAAAGGCAGATGAACACGGCCCAACGTTACATCCGGGACCCGAGAGCGTGACATTAGTCTGCTACGTCGTCTCTTAGTCTTAGGTCTTAGTCGTCTACTTCAAAGTCATCAGTAGTCTCATACTATTTGGTAGTCTCATACCAAACTAGTCATTAGTCACCCCCTAAGGTGGGCAACCTGCCTATTGACGGCTTAGGGCCGATGTACGACGAAGGCGGTGCATCAGCACGAACGTGAACGACGACGTACGAAACTATATATGTCATGAGGTTAAGCTGAAATGTTCTGTGTGTATGAAATGTATGCATGCATGAAATGACACTGCAGTTTGTGTGACCGTGAATGTATATCGTGCAGGTGGTGTGTGGTAACGAAGTACTGCTGCCAGCTGTGGTGCACGAGTTCCTCCAAGTGATGACGTCAGAAGCCATGTTCCTGATCCTGAGCCAGCTGACCGGGCTGTCGCTGCACCATCTGGCACCAACTGATGATGCAGATTCTGATGATGATGAATCATCTGGTAATGATAGTGATGAAGAACCAGCTGATGGTTGTGATGAAGAACCAGCTGATGGTAGTGATGAAGAGCAAGCTGATGGTAAAGTTTTGACCCTAAAACAAATTTTGAAAATCCATAGAAAACAGCGAAGACAACAACCTGGAACTGAAGGAGAACAAGTGGATTGCGATAACAGTGATGAGTACAGTGATGGACTGGACCAGCCTTGGGTTTACGACGTTGGCATCAACTTCGATAACAATAATGAAAACAATCCTGAATCTGATCGAAATAAGGATAACAATGGAAAACAGAAGCCCAGTGAATTCTGTAGTGATATCAACAGAAGAAAAAAAGGCAATAAAAAGGAAAAGACAAGTAAGAAGCTAGGAGAACAAGAACTGTTATCCAATAATAAGGGTAATTGTTCTCAGGAGAACAAGGGACCTAATGTTAGTTGTTCTCTGCGCCGCATCAGCCACGGCTGCTACTCCCTCATCCGCGATGACGATAACAACGATAACAGCTCTGGTGATAACAATTCTATTGATAACAGCTCTGGTGATAACAACTCTGGTGATAACAACTGTGTTGAAAGCAAATCTGTCGATAACACTTACGCTATAGCGAATGCCGAAAACACGGACAACAAAACTGGAAAGAAAACAAAGAAAAGTTCCAAAGATCAGAAAAAGAATAAGGCTGGAGATAAGAGAGAACAACTTGGAGAACAAGAACCATCTCCCCAGCAAGAGAGCGGCGCCCCCCGGTTCGTGCTGGACGCGTACCTGCACCTCAACCTGCCGGGGAGCTGGCGGGAGGCCTACGGCGGCTACACGGCCTACGTCGCTAGCGACCAGCGCGAGCAGGTGAGATATATATGTAATATATTAATATTTAAGGGGAGCGTCTGCCCCAAAATAGAAAATTTTGACTTTTTCGGTTCTTATACTCATCTTAAAACTTCATTCTGACGCATCCAACGGCACCAAAACTATCTCTGTACGTTGATTTATGCGTTCACTACAGATGCCGAAAGGGAGGGTGGTGGGGGGGGGGTTATTTAACAAATAGGTAAGGCGGAAATTAGCTGCCGAGAGCACATAAATAGACTGTCTGCCAAGCTGCAGCTCAGTCACCCTCCTGGCATCGCACGTGGAGGTGTGCATGCAGTCGCTCCCACCATCCTTGACTGGGGTGATACTCTCAAAACTCGCAAAGTGAACTTAAGTAATTACGCTATATTTTCTTGTCTATGATTGGCGGATTTTGCTTGAAAGGCCGTCACTGATTGGCGGATGAACTTACGATCGCGTAATTTTTTTTGAAAGTATAGGCCCTGGAATCGATCTTCAGTAACGCTTAGTTTCGTTTCCATGCTACATTGCGTGGCTATTGCAATGCGCGCGGGACTTTGTCGCGCGGTCCTGAAAAGTTAACTAATTGTCACGGCAAACCTATATCTCCTAGAGTTTTTAAGCTACAGCGATGGGAGATATAGGTACCGTACCATTCGATTCGTAATTAAAATATCTATCGATTCGTCGTGGCTTTTTTTGAATTTCGTTACAGTTTTGGAAATATTTTGAAAAAAGTGGGCGAAAATTGAAAAAAAACGAAAATTTGTCGAAAATTTTGGGGAAAATGCTCCCACATCCACAAAAATTCGAAATTCGAAAAAAGCTAGGACGGATCGATAGATATTTTGATTGCAAATCGAATGGTATATGTCTCATTGCTGTAAATTCAAAACTCTAGCAGGAGATAGATTTCTACAGTACCCCCTTTTTTGGCCGTTTTCTAAGAATTTCACGTTTCTTTCATTTTTTTCGAAAAATGGACATGAATAAAAGGTGTTTATTTTTCTGTTTTACATATTTGTGTCAAGTTTCAGAGTGATCCGTCTGTAAACCGAGATAAATTTTAGTGCAGACGCTCCCCTTAATATATAATATAGCATTAATATCTAAATATACAACGTATTAATAATATTTTATTTTAATATGAAATATTTTGGGTCTATTATATACGAATAAAATATTTTTATGTACCTATGAAATATTGATGACGTAGGCCTGATGTCTCATTAATATATCATCAAGGTCTTATTAATATTCCTCTCATTAACGTATTATTTTTTCTAGCACCTCTAAATACACGCAACTTCCCAATCAAAATTTTGAGTTGGTGGCGACCCTGATTTAGGAACCGCCTAGGACTCGGACCGAACGTAAATCAGCTTCTCTATGTCCGCTTTTTGGTCTACATTCTGGTCCCCGAATCAGACAGTCAGCTACTCTATGTCCGCTTTTTGGTCTACATTCCGGTCCCCGAATCAGACAGTCAGCTACTCTATGTCCGCTTTTTGGTCTACATTCCGGTCCCCAAATCAGACAGCTACCAGAGCCTGGTGCTTATTCTGCCAACTCTTGCCCTACTCTCAGGAGACTGTAAAGTCGGCCCGAAAAACCCTTATTCTATGGCTTTAAAACAATGGGTTTGGCTTTAAAACCCCGAAAAATGCAAGGAGGTTCTGATCAGAAGCTGTTTATGATCGAGAGGCCAAACTGCCCCAGAATAACTCTAACGCGAACATAGCAACTCTGGGGCGGAGGCTGAAGCATACCCCGAATTTTGTTAGGGTTTAGACACAGTCGCATTAGATTATCTTTGAGTCGGGAAGTTCTGAGCATTGAAAGTACATAGACTTCTTTATTATCAGAAATTTCATCTTCTGATAAGTTGGGGCTGGACAAAAAGGTTTGTTTGGGGCCTTATAAGCGGACTCTGGGGCCTTATAACCGGACTCTGGGGCCTTATAAGCGAACTCTGGGGCTCATATAGACGGACTCTGGGGCCTTACTAGCGAACTCTNGGCTCATGTAGAGGGACTCTAGGGCCTTATAAGCGGACTCTGGGGCCTTATAAGCGGACTCTAGGGCCTTATAAGCGGACTCTGGGGCCTTATAACCGGACTCTTGTGTCGTCTGTATATTTTTAACAGCATATTCTGTTTGTATATTATGTGTTATTGTGTAGTCGTAAAATATTATTGTTTATTGTATGTATATGACGCGCCTGACTAACACCACCACCAGAATATCACTATACAATATTTCTGTAATATACATACAATAATAATATATACTGTACTATATATATGACGCTCCACCACCTGTTCAACAGTGAATATCACTGTTTCACTGTTTACTATACAATATTACTGTACTATACAATTATAATATATACTTTACGATATATATAACACCACCACCCTGTAGCTGGTGATGCTGGTCCATAAAATTACTATACTATACAATATTGCCGTTTATTGTATATATTAATATTTTATTGTACTGTATAATATCTTTATAATATAAAGTATTACTGTTTACTATACATACTATACAATAATAATATTATTGTATATATGTCAACAATATTACTATACCACACAATATTACTATTTATTGTGTAATATTGTATATCACTACACAATATTACTGTTTATTTTATTATATTGTATATATATATACCACCCCCCTACAGCTGGTGACGCTGGTGCCGCGCACCAACCACCTGGCGCTGGTGTACCGCGACAGCTGCACCTTCAGGTTCCTCAAGCACCTGAACACCGGGGCACCTGGGGGGGCCTTCCATCAGGTGCAGCTGCAGTACCGAGAGTCTTGATCCCGTCAGCTGCATCTGTCATCAGGTGCCTGAGATGTGTCACCTGTCATCAGGTGCCTGAGATGTCACCTGTCATCAGGTGCCTGAGATGTCACCTGTCATCAGGTGCAATATATGTCACCTGTAGCTAATTGAATAATTGCCATATTTATTTGTATTTTATTATCCTTTTCTCTCCTTTTTTATAATTTTTTGTACTTTTTATCAAATTTTCTCCTTTTTTTATCTCTCCTCCCTAAAACCGCAGTTTTTTTAACATAAATCGAAAAGTTAAACGTAAATTTGAAAAGTTTCTAATTAAATTTCTATGCGATAATCTAAATATGTATTTATACAGATTTTTTCCGATCAGAATCTGTGTATTAACTTCCAATTAAAGAATGAAAAACGTTGCAATAACGTATAATGTTTTAAATGATAATAATAATATAATAATGTTTCAGTCCTGAATCGTAAATTAAAACGTAAATTTAAAAAGTTTCTAATTAAATTTCTATGCGATAATTTAACTACATGTTAATACAGATTATTTCCGATCAGAATCTGTGTATTAACTTGCAATAGATGAATAAAGAAGTTAGCAATAACAAATATTGTTATAAACATAACTCTTGTGCGCCGCCATATGCACTGTACGACAACGTGGACGCTGAGGGGGCGTGAGGCGGCCAGTCAGCAGCCTCTGTATTGTCTAGACCTGTGGTATTGATCTGTATTGTATACAATATTGTGTCTGTATTGTATCTGTGTACAATACTGTACCTCTATTGTATCTGTATATAATACAGTATCTGTATCGATCTCTGTACAATACTGTATCAGTATTGTATCTGTACACAATATTGTATCAGGATTGTATACAGATACAATATTGTGTCTGTATTGGATCTGTATACAATATTGTATCTGTATGGAGCCTCTGTATTGTCAGGACCTCCCGGCTTGCTGGGGAAGAAGCTGCAGGGGAGAGGCTTCGGCTTGGGGAGGCTAGACTACTTTCTTTATAATAACTTCATTTGTAATATCTTTATTGATTTATTATTTATGATAACTTTATTTATATAAATCAATTTATTTTAAATAGCTTTTTTCTCCGTAAAATTCTGCGGTTTAGCCCCCAAAACGAAGCCCCTTGGGGACTTGTGACGCTCCCCCAGCCCCCAAAGTCCACTATAGCAACTAGTATAGTGGCTATATTATATAAACTATACATATTATATTTTATATATAAACTATTTATCAAATATATTATTGGCATTTGGTCTCGAAAGCTAAAATATTTACATTGAAATTTTAGTATTGGAACTAATTTCAATTACTTTATTTCCCTAATTCTGGGAAATGAACTATAAATGAATAATTATTTTTATTATAATAATTATAATCGAATTATAAATTATAATAGAATTATTATAATAATTAAAATAGAATTCTTATGATAATAATTAGATATGAATGATAGAAAAAGATAATGAAGTGAATAGTTCTATAGTTGGTCTAGTTCACCACATAGTTGTCTAGGCTGCCACTAGTTAGTGACGTCACTAGGGGGCCACCTCCCCCTCCTCCCCCCCTCTTAGAGGTAAGTTACGTTCTAGTTACAAGCATTCCGTTTATTTATTATTATTTATTTAAGCTTTGTTCCATTATAAATATTTAATGTCTAGTTGTTTAATAATCATAAATATTTAATGTCTAGCTGTATGTTCAGCTTTATTAGTCATATTGTATCTCATTGACTTGAAATTGAAATTTTATTACAACACTTCTATTTAACTTCACTTCTTTGAAAATTTGAAAATTTTTATTTTTATATTGAAAAAAAATAATTTTGTCTGCTACATAACTTATAATCAATATTTAACACACTTTTACCTCTACAATTGATTTGAAATTTTGCACACTTGCGTAAAGTTGGAGACGATGCATGAATAAATTGACAGAATAAATAATTTTTGAAGAATCTAATTTTTTTAATTTTAGAAATAAAATTTAAAAACTACTTTTTATATTTATAATAAAATGAGAAATTCATTGTACATGTGTTACATCGGAGACACTGGATTCTTTAGAAGTGTTGTCTTTGAAAAGTTATTTTTAAACGCATATTATTTAATGTGAGGTTTGGTTTACATACAATGACCGTACTTACCATAGGGGTTAGTAAACCCCCCCCACACACACACTTCTCACCCCCTACCCCCCGTCTCTTATACACATCTAGATGTGTATAAGAGACAGGTCATCAGGTGCCTGAGATGTGTCACCTGTCATCAGGTGCCTGAGATGTGTCACCTGTCATCAGG